TTCAAATTTAAATGATAATCTTGCCAAATAAAGTATTCTTGGTTCAAGGCCCTTCTGCTTTATTGCACTAAATATATCATGCCACTCCCTTCTGGCCTGTAAGGTTTCTGCTAAGAAGTCTGATGATAGCCTGGTGGGTTTTCCTTTGTATGTGACATATTTTCTCTCTCTGGCTGCTTTTCATAGTCTATCCTTATCCTTGGTCTTTGCCATTTTAATTATTATATGTCTTGGTGTTGTCGTCCTTGGGTCCCTTGTGTTGGGAGATATGTGAACCTCCGTGGCCTGAAGGACTATCTCCTTCCTCAGATTGGGAAGTTTTCAGCAATTACTTCCTGAAAGACATTTTCTATCCCCTTTTTCTCTCTCTTCTTCTTCTGGTATCCCTATAATATGAATATTGTTCCACTTGGTTTGGTCACACAGTTCTCTCAGTATTCTTTCATTCCTAGTGGTCCTTTTTTCTCTCTGTGCCTTAGCTTCTTTGTATTCCTCTTCCCTAGTTTCTATTTCATTTACTGTCCCCTCCATCATATCTAACCTGCTTTTAATACCCTCTATTGTTCTCTTCAATGATTGGATCTCCATCCTAAATTCTTTCTTGAGTTCTTGAATATTTTCCTGTACCTCCATGAGCATGTTTATGATTTTTATTTTGAAATCTCTTTCAGTAAGATTAATTAATTCAGTCTCACTCAGTCCTTTCTCTGGTGTTGAGATTTTGCTTTGAACCAGGTTCCTTTGATGTTTCATGCTTGTATGTGGTGCTCTCTAGTGCCCAGAAGCTCTACTCTCTGGAGCTGCTCAGCCCCTGGAGCACTGTTGGGGATTGCCGGGGAGTTGTTCTGGTGTCTGGGGGGAGGAAAGAGCTGTTTCCTGTTTCCTGGATATTATGTCTGTCTCCACTGCCTGAACCAGTGGGCTGAACACACAGGTATAAGCCTCTATGCTTTGTGTTTGTAGCTGCCATATGCGGGGCTTCCCTCTGGGTGGCCTGATGCCAGGGCAGAGGCTGCTGGTTTTTGAGCCAGGTGAAGGCTAGCTGGAAGGAAGACACAGTAAGCTGCATATCACGGAGGTGGTCCTTGGAGCTGTGTAGCCAGCCAGGGGGATGGAGTGCCTGAAGGTCATTTAAGTTCCCAACCTGCTGGTCAAAGTGCACCCAGAGATTTTGTCTTCCTGTCCTTTCTCCTGAGCAGTAAGCTCTGTGAAATCCTTGCCTCTTTACCAGCCCTCTCACTGTTAGAAAGTCTCTCAGACAGCCCACCAGCTTAGCTGGGTATGAATTCCTGTTTTCCACAAGCAGCTAGAATCTCCATCTCTGCCCATCTTAGCTATCCAACCCCACTAATCACCAGAGCACCATGCGCTGTGGGTTCATACTCCCAGAGCAGATATCCAGGGCTAGGTGTTCAGCAGTCCCAGGCCTCCACTCCCTCCCTTCTCTGTTTCTCTATCTCCCACTGGTGAGCAGGGGTTGGGGAAGGGCTTGGGCCCTGCTGGGTCACAGCTTTGGTACGTTACTCTGTTCCGTGAGGTCTGCTCTTTTCTCCAGGTGTATGCAGTCCGGTGCAGCCCTCTTTCCTGTTGCTCTTTCAGGACCAGTTTTATTTTATATTTTCATATTATATATGGTTTTAGGAGGAGGTCTCTGTCTCACTTCTCACGCCACCATCTTTAATACTTTCCAGCTTTTAAATTTTCCTTCAGTTTTGATTCCCTTACAAAATACCATTCTTTTGCTTTACTTCACATCCTAAAAACATTGGGTGAAGAGAGTCAAAAGCCTGGCCTCCTACAGCTAAAACTGAATTATGAAAATCTTCATTCAATGAACACACTTCATTCTATGTAATCTTTTGTAACATTTGACATTGTTGGCCTGCCTTCCCATCTAGAACACTGTTCTCGTCTGACTTCCTGATGTCACCCTCTCCCACTGCTCAGACCTGGCCACTTCCCAGCCTCCTTTGTAGGTCCCTGCCTTGCCTTTAGTGCTGGTCCCTCTCAGGTTTCCTGCTAGACTCTCCCGTCTTCTCTATCCACACCTCTCTCTGGCACCCTCTCTTGTTCACTTGGCTTCAATTACTGGTATTTGCCCCAAACTACTTACATATCCCCTAGGTTTTTTTTCTTGAACTTCAGATCAGTATTTTAAATCACCTTCTAGATATTCTCCACCTTCTCCTATAATTTCCAATACATTAGGGCCAAAGCGAAAACCACAGTCCCCTCATCCCCCACCAAACTTGCTTTTGCTGTGCATCCCCTCCCTTTACTAGGAGGGTGAAGCATTTATCAGCAATGCAGGTGTATGAACAGAAACCATGAAAGTACAGTAAGTTCTACTATAATCAGCAAGCATGTTCCCCCAAATCAGTGTCTTGTACAAAACTGACCAATGAAAAACATAGGGCTTATGGGATAAATGGGGACAACACTCAAAAACTTCCTCCAACATTTAAAAAAAAGAGGTAAGATATGAATAAAAGTGGTAACATGGTCTTACACATGTCATGTGATTGAGAAATACATAAATAATATAATATATATGGTGCTTAGAAAGACCTGATGTTTGCTTGTGGAAGTGGGCATCAGAGTGGCTGTATTTTGTGGGTAATTGTGAAGTGGTATAAGGAAGATTATTAGAAATCAGATAGAAAGTTGTGACACTCTGTGTGGATGAGTGTGGATCCTAACACATGGTGACCTGAGGCAGCCCGTAGATGTTTGAGGTGTGTGTGTGTGCATGCATATGTTTTGTTAAAACATTATTAAAGTGGATGCAATTTTCTGCATTCATCTTGTGTTTCTTAAGGAACAAATATGTGCATAACTAATCCTGAAATTTGCATTGTGCTCAACTTGTTCTCTAATATATCAACAGGGTTGGAATGAATTTGAATTTTCAAAGCAAAGATTATAGCTGAACTGACTGCATCTTGGAAAACTCTTGCCACCCACACAGGCAGTGGGTAACAAGTTCCCACGAACTCTGCTCCCATTCACACCTGTTTTTCCAGCCCTGCTGCTGTTGCTCCAATCCAGATGCTTGGTATTTCCCTTATATGAGACTGCAACAGCCCCTTCATGTGTTTCCTGCTGCGGTACCTTGTCCAAGGTCCTGGGAACTGCCATACCTGCAGGCTTCGCTCTGAGCAGGCATCATCAGTGAGGGCTTCTGTCATTGGGTCAGTCTGTGATCTTTGATTCCGAGCCATTTGTTCATTGCAAGATGGGTTGAGTAGAGCCTTCCAATAGACTGCTATGAAGATTAAAGGAGGGATCTGTGTAGTGTCTGCACAGCCTTGAGAACATGAGTGATTCTTCTCCCTCTTTATTTCACAACTTTATCCCAGCCCAACTCCCAAGTCACCTTCTTTTTGAAACCTTCTCAACTGTTACCTCCCCTCTCTCACCTAGAAAAAAACATTGTCCCTTTCTCTGAACTATCACCATGTAACAAACACACACTTCTGATACAGCATCTCCCCAAGGCTGTGTAGTGGACACCCAGAGCCCTCACTCCTTTACTAGCAAGACTTGGGTTTATTCACTACATTAGCTTATTACTTCTCTCCCATGAGACTCACAGGTGGTGAGCCCATTCACAGCATCAAGGGTAGAGCCTGACTAGTCTATGCCCATCCAGGTTATCTCAGTCCCTTTCCAAGTAATGAGGTTCAAAATGGGCATAAGACCTGATTCTGGAACTAAGATCTGAAAGTACATCTGCTGGGAAGTTCATTCCCTCTCTTCTAAGGAAAAGATACAAGAAGAAATGTTTTTTTTTCTTTCTTTGGATGTTGGGATATCTGATGTGATGGCTGGAACTGCTGCAGCTATATTACCTCTAGCCTGGTTTGGACACTAATACACAAAAAGCAGGACAAATCCAAGAGTATTACAGAGAAGAGGAAAAGGAACTTTGTATAATGCATATGGTATTTGCATTATTTAATGTTAGAGGCAATAAATGTCTTTGTTGTCAAACCACTCCGACTTAGGTTTTCTGACACTTAGAACATAGATCATTGAAAACTGGCATTAGAGATACTTATGAGTCTCCCCAGTGATGCTGAGAACCCCAAAGGAATTTTTCAGTTTTTTATCCCTAGCAATAGGAAGGACATGCCACAGACTGGATGCTCAACAAGTATTTGTTGGATGGATGGATGGATGGATGGATGGATGGATGGATCAATCAATCTCCTGGCCTCCTGGCTACTATACTTTCCAGTATCTGTCTCCTTCTCAAGTATTCTGCTAGTCATGCAATTGTGTCATTAGATAAAAATCAAGAGAAGGCAAGGTGTCTAGGCAGGAAGTCCAGAAAGCTGTAAAACAGAAAAGCAGCCAACATTGGTATTTTGGGAGTGCCAAGATATCAGGAAAGAATGTGAGTCAGTCCCGGGGCCTTTGTTGCAGGGGCAGAGGGGCCAGTTTGATTGGCTACCCAACCCTCCTTTACTTTCAGCTTCTCCTTTCACCAAACTTAATAAAACCCAAGGATCTAAAATTAATACCTCAAGCACAGTCATACATCTTACAGCTGATGGGGAAAGGAGCGTTTCCTAAATTAATGATAATCTGATGTGTAGCTTTCTGATGAACCAGCCAGACACAGAGAGAGCATCATCATGGCAGCTTATTTCCATAGTTACTACCCACCAGGCAGTCTCTCAATGTGCCTGCATCATTTCACTTAGTTCTCACCACCTAGTGAGTTAGGAACTCTGACTTCTACCACTTAATGGATGAGGAAATTAGGGCTTAGAGTTTAGGTAACTTGCACAGTGCCAGTAAATGGTTGGACCTATCTCCAAAACCCAAGACATACTATCCAGAGAAATGGATGTGAAGTTGTGCTCTAACTATCATCTTCAAATATCAATTGGTGAGCAGTCATTTTGCTTTATTTTTAGACTGGAATTTATTGAGAAGCTAGTAATATTTTTGACCTTTCATATACCTTACTGCATTTTTTTCTTGGAACCCAGATATTATTATCTGCTGAGATGATGGTGGCCTAGAGAGGTTTAGAAGTCACACCAGAGTCACCTAGCTGGTAAGTAACAAGTTGCACTTGAATCTGTCTTTTTTCTGACATCCCATAGCTGCTTCCATTGTCAACTCTGGTAGGAGCCTAGAAAAAATAAGTTACACACAGAAAGTTATTCATGCCTTAAAGCCAAGGAGCAAGGCCAGTATTTTGTAACAAAATGGGGGAATGACAGATGACCTGTATCCCAAATGACTGATGTACCGACCAACCAGTCACTGAGGGCCTGAAACCAGAGCCAGATTATCCTTGCCTGCTGTGGAGTGCAGTAAGCCAGCTCTGCAAGGAGGGCTATGATTTGTAATGTTTGCCCCCGGTGTTTAAATTATCCCCCATGGTTGATTTCAAGATAGCAATCACTGAAAACTAGCTTAGAGGCGTAAATTGGCTCTAGCACATTCTACCTACAGGGCAACAGTAGATCTGCTCAAGAAGCAAAACCTGCATTGGCCAAGGCCCTAGAATCCCAAACCACGTGGCTGCCCCTCCTGGTTCTGTCTCTCAGGAATGGCACCTCCATCTCTCCAGGTGCCCAGGGGCAAAACTCATGGAGATCTACTGGATGGCTCCCAACCTACTTCCAAACAATGACCAAGTCTATTCTCTTCTTCCTCCTAAATGTTCTTCAAATCCCTTCATTTGTTTCCATCCTCTCTGTCCCAGCCAGGTCCAGGCCATTATCATCTCTTCCCCAAACCACCACATGATCTCCTACCTCGTATCCCTTCATCCACTCTTGCCCCTGCCCCCCACCTCCCCCGAGGAAGTATATTCTTCATAGTGTGCCAGAGTCATTCTTCAAAAATGCAAATCTGATTGTGTTGCTCTTTTAAGGAAAACCCTTCGCTGGCTCTGTGGAGCCTTTGGATTACAACCAGTCCACACCACTCTGGACACAGCCCCACAGGGTAAGCCTCTAGTGTTCACCCACCACCCTGGCCCTGGTTTACTGCGCTTCAGCCTCTGGTTTTGTTTCATTCCCCCAGCAAGTGCTGCTTCGTGCCTAGGGTATTTATATGTACATGCATTCCCTTTCCCTGGAAGGCTCTTCCCCTCCCCCTCTTTATCTCCTCTTCGATACCTTAAGCATCGCTTTAACATCACTTTATCCAGGAAGCCTTCCCTGGGATCCTCTGATGAGAGCAAACCTTCCTGATGCAGCTCTCCAAAACAGTCTGTTCTTTTCTTTCCACTTACCCCTTCCCTGTCCAGGTTGTTAGCTGTGCTTCTGACAAAGGGTTATACGTTAGAGGTTTGCGTGACCCCCCCCCCTCAGATTTTATTAATTTGCTAGAGTGGCTCACAGAACTCAGAGGAACATATATTTACCAGCTTATTATAAAGGATGAAGAGGTACATAGCATGAGATCTGGAAGGCTATCGAGAGCTGGAGCTTCTTTCCCCATGGAACTGGGGTGTGCAATCCCCCATATGAGGATGCATGCAGTCACCCCTAAGCTCATTAAATCTCTTAAGAGTTTTTGTAGAGCTTCTGCTGCAGCCCCTCACTTCCTCTTTGCAGATATTGGTGAGTGGGCCTGAGAGTTCTAACCTTCTACTCATTTGGTAGACCAGCCCTATCCTGAGGCTAAGAGGCCCCACCCTGGAGTCACCTCAGAAGCATAAATTCAGATGTGCCAAAAAAGGTTCTTTATTAGTAATGGAAGTCACCCCTCTCAGTCAAGAAACTTCAAGGGTTTTAGGATCTCTGTGCCAGGTATCAGGGAAAAAGACTAAATATATTTCTTATTTTATCCCATCAACCAAACCCCAATCTCATCAGTGTCCCTCCCGTGCCCTGCTATGTTTTTACTCATCACCCTTCTCAACATACGACAAAGTATATACTTCCTGGTTCATTTGTGTATTGCCTGTCTCTTCCTCTCTAGGAGATGAGCTCCATACGAGCAAGGACTTCGTCTGTTTCTGTCAGTGTTGTGCATGTGCCATCCAGAAAGCACCTGACTTGCTAGGACTTCCTTTATAATGATTTATTCAAGCACTGAATCCCGGCAGATTTGTGGAGGACTCTCAGAATGGCCCTGGTACATTGCTGCTGACCTTTAGTCACATAGCCCCCGGGCAATACAATTGTCATTCTTTCTGGTAATATTCTTCTAGCATTGGTCACCCTACTTTTTCACTAATTCACCTTTTCTTGTGGAAAAAATAGTGCCCTGGGCCACAGTTGCAGAACTTAAAATGTACAGTTAGAAGTAGCTTTTGAGAACAAATGGCCCGGTTGGAGGAAAGTGTAAAATCTGCCTGGGCTTTGCCATACACTGAGAAAATATAAAGACATTTTAATACCAAAGGTGAGAAGCACGATTTATTTTATCCTCTTTCCCTTAGAAAAAATTACTTTTAGTTTAAAGAGCATGCTTAGGTAATTTCTGTCAGTGAACAGGGAATTTGAAAGTGAATTGATTAGCATGCCAGTATTTGCTCAGTACAAGCCAATAAAAAGGGTTTCCTTTGTTCCTTCTTAAATAAAGGATAGTAACAGAGGCAGGGATAGCTTTCTGGGGTTCCTGACAATCATGGCAGGGAGAAGGGAAAGGTGTCACATCCATTAGAAAGGGAGGGGAGAGAGACAGAGACAGAAACAGGGATGCTTCTGATCCCTAACATTTCCAGGGAAAAAGGCATCTCATTGTTAAGATAGGAATGAACCCCCTTCCTGCCAGAGGCTGACTGGCTACCTCAGGGGCCATTTCTACTCCATTCTATCCTTGGGTCTGCGCTGACCTGCTGGCTTTGGCTGAAGGAGTAACTTCCTTGGGGCTCTGATTCCTTATTTGTACAAGGAAGCCTGGACCCTGTAGAGCATGATGGTCTGATGCACAGGCTTTAGAGCTGGACTGCTTAGGTTCCGATCCTGGTTCTGTCATGCACCACATTTCTGAATCAGAGCGGCTTATTTAGTCTCTCTGCCTCAGCTCACTCATTTGTAAATGGAGGGAATAATAATACCCACCACCTAAGTTTCCTAAGAGAAAGAACTGATGGCTTAAAACAGTGTCTGGTGCATAGTAAACATTCAGTAAGTGTTAGAATAATGAAAAATTCTGTTTTCTCCTCTTCTCTGCTGCTCACACTGAACACTTCTGTGACCAGATGTGTGGGTGATTTTCTCACACTAAGCAATTCACTTACACCAGCTAATTATCAAGTTGTCTCAATTCTGACACTATCTACCTGGAGACAGCATCAGATCCCACAGGTTAAGGGTCCAGTCCCACAAGATTGACCACCGTTCAGATGCCAATTGCCTGCCACAAGTCCAGATTGTCACCTGTACTTCCGACTGATTGGCTAAAAATCAGGTTTTCCTAGATAACCCCCTGCCTCAGGATTAATTTGCTAGAGTAGCTCACAGAACTTTGGGGAATAGTTTATTTATTGGTTTACTGGTTTAATACAAAGGATTTAACTCAGGAACAACCAGATGAAGGAGATACATAGGGCAAGGCATGTGGGAAGGGGTGAAGAGCTCCCATCCCCACTCAGGCATGCCGCCTTCCACCTGGAAACTCTCTGAACCCCATCATTGGGTTTTTAGGGAGGTTCCAGTATATAGGCATGCTTCATTAAATTATCAGCCCTTGGTGCCTGACTAAACTTTCAGTTCCTCTCCATCCCTGCATTTCTAGGCATGGGGGGCTGAAAATGCCAACACTGTAATCACACGATTGGTTTCCCAGACAACCAGCACCCTTCCCTAAGGGCTTTCCAAAAGTCAACTTACTAACATAAATTCAGGTATGGTTGAAAGGGGCTTGTTATGAATAACAAAAGAGGCTTTATAACCACCCTTATCAATTAGGAAATTTTAGGCACTCTGTCCCAGAAATGGGATGAAGACCAAATATGTTTATTATTGCAAATCACAATATTATAGTTAGCTGATACACTTCTTGGGGCATTAGGATGCTTTTACCTGCAAGAAATAGAAGTGATTTAAACAAGTGGTTTCCAAATTTTTGTGGTCATACTCCTATTGCAAAAAACCTTCTGAACACTCTCACATGCATTTATTTTAAAATTATTTTGTTATTATTGAACAGTATTTATATAAGAAATTAACCAGGAAAATTTAGAAGATGAAATAAGAACAGTCATAAGTAGAAGTTCTGATACCTTCTTCCTACAGTTGGATGGATCAGTGAATCATCTCATGCACACTGCATTTTGAAGACCAAGGGCTTAAATCAGTGGCCTCAACCAGATCCAATTTTGCTTCCATGGGGCAGCTAGTCTGGAGATAATTTTGGTTGTCCAGTCCTGGAGAGGGTGCCTCTAGTGGGTGGAGGCCAGGGCTGCTACAAAACAACCTGCAGTGAGAGCACAGGACAGCCTCTCACAACAAAGAATTATGCTGCCAAAAATGTCATTAGTGCCAAGGTTGAGAAGCCCTATGTAAGCCCAGGGGGAAAGCTCATTCCCGGCCCAGGGCAAATAAACCTGCAAAGCCAAAATCAGTCAAGGGGAAACAATCTTTATTCTGGCTCTGTTCATCTCTCCCCTGGCTGCCACTCTTGCTCACCCATTTCCTGTTTCCACTGGGAAGGTCAAAATACCTCTCCTGTCCTGGCACGTGCTCACCTCTCCACTCGCCCCTTGTAAAACACCTATTGATATGGAGATGGACTAAGGCCAGGTGAGAGATTCTGAAAATATCACAATTTTACCCACAGCCCACCCCTCTAGAAATCTCACCTTACAATCTACTCACTCCCCATCTTCTGCAATGGCCCCTGTGCAAGAAAACTGGAGCATTGTAACCAGACTAATACTATACAATAACAACAGCAATAAAATTGTGATAATCCTTAAACCAGAGGATCCAGCTAGGTTCAAACTCCTATTCTGATTAAGTCCATAGCTCGTCCATGCCACAGGAAGCCAGCAGCTGAACTGGTAGGGAGCTCTGTGCACGCTCAGCAAGGAGCAGCTGTAACTAGGGCACAAGTCCAAGCCCCAAGGACTGTAGAAGAAAATAACCTTATGGGCGATAAGATACGCATTTTAATGACACCAGCATAGGCAAATCTTGTCCATCAGGTAGGATGCATGCAAGAGAGTGGTCCTTTACTAGGACAGTGGCAGGAATAGGATAGATGTAGCACTTCTAGAAATACAGGCACTGGCCACAGTAGTAAGACACAATTTCCCTGCAAAGTGCTTTTACCTCCCAGCTATTTGGATATACTACTGTGACCTTTGGGGTCTGCTCTGCTGTTACTCCAGGAATACACAGGAGAACAGCTTCCAGGCCTTGTCCTAAAGGTGCCTGAAGGGCCAGCCATCACTGGTCCATGTGTTGAAATGTCCAGGATCATGTAGTCTCCAGGTTGCTGTGGGACTCATTCCTTAATGCATTCCTGCCAGGCAGAGGCAGGCCTCACTGATGAACTATAGCCCACAGTGTCTTCGGCCCTGGACCAAGTTGTCTGCTCCATCATTCCCTGGGATGCCAAGGCAAATGGCCAATAAGTTGCTGCTAGAGGCCCCAGTCACATGGGCATCTAGTTCGTCCATTTTGAAACAGTGGATGTAATTGCATACATTTTATCCAAGCCCTACCTGATGCCCTTGTGTGCCAAAAGGCACAAGAGCTTCAGAATTTGTGCCAAGTGTGAGATAAACACTCTCCTGTAGCCTACAAGACTCAAAACCTCTTGTAATAATGCCACAGTTATCTGTAAGAGAATCAGAAGGGAGCATAACACCATACACAACATTGGACTTTCCTATTCCCAAGGGGGTTCAGGTTTTCTTCACTCTAATTGCCTTACTCCCATAGCCATCTATCCCAGTGGGGGTCCCAGGAAACCACTCAAGTTTGCCATAAATCAGATAACATTCAGCGCCTGTGTCCACAAAAGCCAGGACATACTACAAATTCACTGGAGACTAATCATTTACTCAACATGGGGCCCCTGTCACAAGAGGCCCCAGCCGTGATCCTCCCCTCAGACAAACCGTAATGCCCAGCTGTCCTCCGGCAAAGGTCCAGGTGGGTTCTGCATGTCCTCCCCCAGGAAGTCCTGAAGACACACAGGCTAGACATGGAGCTTTGCCTCTGGCTTCCATGTCCAAGACATCTGTAGCTGGAACCCTGTTCTGGCTTTAATTGGTGCCACAATTCTAATTCTATTGGGCTTCCAATCAAGTTTTTCTTTCACTGCCCCCACTTTTATCAAATCAATCCACATCTGGGTCCTCGAGACCTTCACAGGGCCTTTTGCCCCTCTCTTTTCAGTCATAGACCATACTTCCTTCTGTGTTCTTATTGTTTCAACCTCCAAATCTGCTAAAGTATGAGTAGCCTCACTTGTGGGTTGCCCTAGATGGAGGGCATGAATAGTGACTCAGGACCCAAAGAGGGAGGAGGGTGCTGTGCGGAGCATCAGAGTCTTCATTCCCGTGGTGAACAACTCCTCATCGGGGCCCTGGGGGTCCATGTTATAGATTACATTTTTCATGCCCAGCTCCCATAACACCTGCTGGAGCTCTGCATACATTTTCCAGCTAGTGGGTAAGTATGATAAGTCACCCTGATTAGGCCAAACTGCCCTGATGGCTGCTGTCAGCCAATCCAGAACTGCATGATTCCCTGAGGTGTGACGGGCACTTTACAACCACTGCCGGAGGGAAGGATGAGTTGTCAGGGAAGCCAGTCGCCCATTTCAGAACCCGACAAAACAATGCTTTCAACCCCCAAATCCCGAAGACACAAAAGCCATAGGCAGAGGTTCTGAGAGCGTCTGCCAAAACCAGATGTTCAAATCCACGAGCTCTTGCTGGGTATAGGGGCGGATCATGGGGTGCTCCGCAATCTGGGGAGGGGGCAGCTTCTCCCCCTAAGGAGCCCACTATTGTTGCATTTTTACTTTCTTAATTACAACCAGGTGGGCCTTTAATATGGAAGGGGGCTGGGGCCTCAGACGATGGCCTTGGCAACAGATGGGCCCTCAGCCCCACCCCCCTCAT